GGGGCGATGGGGGTGGTGGTAACAGTGACGGTGGTGGTGGGGTGGTGACAGTGATGATGCCAACGACGGTGATGACGGGGGTGGCGAAAGTGGTAATGATAGTGGCAGTGGTGGGGGTAGTTGTGGTTGTGGGTTGGCGATGGTAGTGGCAGTGGTGATAGTGGTAGAGCGGTGGGGGTGGTGGTGGTAATGGTGGTAGTGGGGCTATTCTAAATACTACTTTTTTAAAGTACTTATGAGAAGTTGTAAATCTTAAAAATACTTTTAAAAAGTCACTTCAAATACATCATTGGGGACTTATTTTTCTATTGAATTTGGGGTATTAATATAAGCCGTCAAATTAACTTTAAAATAAAATTTAAAGAGATGTCAACAACGAAAAATAAAAGTTATTTTTTTTTATTTTTCTTTTGAATTGTATTGTATTGTATTATATATATTAGTTATTACTTGTGCCTTTTTTTAATTTTTTTAATTTTTTTTGGGAGGGGGAAGGGGGAAGAGGCTTGAACCCTTTACCTCGAGAAAGCAAATCCTTCACAAAAGGTAAGGAATACCATTGGACCAAAGACTCATTGATAGTTATTATTTGTGTTTGAAGGCACAAAGTAATAAAAAAAATGGTTAACAAAAAATATATTTGTATTCACATCTAAAATCAAATTACAAATATAGAGGAGAGATAATGAAATTTAATCATCGATTATAATGAGGGTAAGCGGTGGTGGGCGATAGTGGTGGTGGTGGGAGACGGTGATGGTTGTGGTGGGTGACTACAATCGTGGTAATGACAGTAGCCGTGGGTGGCAACGGTGATGATGATGGTGGATTTTGGATGATGATGGTAGTAATGACAATCACGGGTGATGGTGATAATGGAGGTAGGTGTGGGTGGTAATGGGAGACGGTGATGATTTTTAGCAGTAATGGTGGCGGGGCGACAATAGTGGTGGCGGCGGTGGTGGGTTGGGGTAGAGGGTGATGACGGGTGTTTCTAGGCGACAGTGTGGTGGGTGGTGATGATTGACAGTGGTAATGATGGTGGTAGATGTTGTGGAGGGTGGGTGACAATAGTGGTGGGCGATGACGGGTGATGGTGGTAGGTGCAGTGGTGGTGGGTGACAGTGGTTGGCGGTGATAGTGGGTGATGACAGGTGGTGGTGGGTTGTGGTAGTGGGTGGCGATGGGTGCTAACGGTGGACGATGGTGATAGTGGGATGATGGTAATAGTAATAATAAATAAAAAAATGAAATGAGGATGATGGTGAGTGGTGACAGTGGACGACAGTTGTAGAAATTGGTGATAGGTGACGATGGTGGTGGTGGTGGTGGTGGTGGTGGTGGGGGTGGGATGGTGGCGGTGGCAGTAGGGGTAACGGTGGGACAGTGATGGGTGCATGCAACAGTGGTGGTAGTGGTTGTGGGGCGATAGAGGGTGGTGGTGGCAGCGATTGTGATGGTAATAGTTATGGTGGCGGTGGGGGTAGTGGTGATGATAGTAGTGGGATGGTGTGTGTGTTGGTGGTGGTGGCAGCGATGGTGGTGGTGGGGTGGCGACGACGATGGTGGGGTGGTAGTGGTGATGGTGGGTGGGGCGGTGGAGGTGGTAGTGGTGGTGGTAGGATGGTTCTAAACACAATTTTTTATTAAAGTACTTATGAGAAGTTATAAGTCCTAAAAATAATTTTAAAAAATCAACTCAAACACACTCTTAGAGATCTATTTTTTCTATTAAATTTAGGGTCTTAAAATTAACCGTTAGATTACTTTTAAAATAAAATTTAAAGGAATTTCAACCTCAAAAAGTAAAAGTCATTTTATTTATTTTTGAGATTTGAATTGTATTATACTTTACTGTATATATTTTCTTATCTAATTTACTACAATAATTGGATTGACTGCGAGTTTCTTCAAATATTAAAACTTAGTATTAGGGAGAATTACAGCCAAACCCTTTGAGGTTTGTCACTTAATCACTCAGACCCTCTGACATTTAAAATATTACACTCAGATCCCCTGAGATTTGTATGCACATAACACTTAGACCCACGTTATAAATATATCTATTAATAAATTACACTTAGACTCCCCTAAAGTTTGTGAATATATAATATTTAGACCCTTTAAGTTTAAAAATATTATACTTAGACAAAAAATACTCCAATAAAATATAAAATATAAAATATTTTAAATTTTACAACCAAAATTCATGTTCTATTGTATCACTTATTGAAATAAAAACAAAACAAAAATTTAATTTTTTTCTTAAAAAATTGTAATTAGTATATAATTATGTTGTCTATTAGAATTTAATTTAGTTGTTTAAAAGATCAAATTAAAATACCAAACTACCCCAATTAAATTTAAAAAGTATTGTGTCCATTACAATTTGATTCCTTATTTAATTTTTTAGTTTTGTTTTAATAGACAGTATAAATATATACTAACTATGTCTTTTTTTTAAAAATAAATTTTTATTTTTGATTTTATTTCGATAAATGATATAATAGAACATAAATTTCGGATGTAAAATTTATGTTCTATTATGAATGACTTAGACCCATTGTTTGAATTTTTAGTTTTATTCTAATAGATAGTATAATTGTATATTAATTACGATTTTTAAAAAAAAAAATTTAATTTTAATTTTTAATTTTATTTCAATAAATGATACAATAGAACATAAATTTTGGTTATAAAATTTAAAATATTTGATATTTGATATTTGATTGGAGTATTTTTAGTCTAAGTATAATATTTTAAATTTAAAGGGTCTAAGTATTATATACTCACAAACTTTAGGGGAGTCTAAGTATAATTTATTAACTGATATATGTATAATAAGGGTTTAAGTGTTACGTGCGTACAAACCTCAGAGTGTTTGTGTATAATATTTTAAATGTCAGGGGTCTGAGTTATTAAATGACAAACTTCAAGAGATCTGTATATAATCTCCCTATAATAAAACCACATTATTATTAAATCAAATTTTTAAATTTGAATAACATTCCTCATAAAGCTAATTAATGGTAACTCGGTATGGGCCGGGTCGAACTCAAAATACTGTCCANGGTGGAGGTGGTAGTGGTGGTGGTAGGATGGTTCTAAACACAATTTTTTATTAAAGTACTTATGAGAAGTTATAAGTCCTAAAAATAATTTTAAAAAATCAACTCAAACACACTCTTAGAGATCTATTTTTCTATTAAATTTAGGGTCTTAAAATTAACCGTTAAATTAATTTTAAAATAAAATTTACAAAAATTTCAATCTTAAAAAGTAAAAGTTATTTTATTTATTTTTGAGATTTGAATTGTATTATACTTTACTGTATAGATTTTCTTATCTAATTTACTACAATAATTGGATTGACTACGAGTTTCATCAAATATTAAAACTTAGTATTAGGGAGAATTACACCCAAACCCTTTGAAGTTTGTCACTTAATCACTTAGACCCTCTAACATTTGAAATATTACACACAGATCCCCTGAGATTTGTATGCACCTAACACTTAGACCAACGTTGTAAATATATTTATTAATAAATTACACTTAGACTCCCCTAAAGTTTGTGGATATATAATATTTAGACCCTTTAAGTTTAAAAATATTATACTTAGACACAAAATACTCCAATAAAATATAAAATATTTTAAATTTTACAACAAAAATTCATGTTCTATTGTATCACTTATTGAAATAAAAACAAAACAAAAATTCANAAAATATTTTAAATTTTACAACAAAAATTCATGTTCTATTGTATCACTTATTGAAATAAAAACAAAACAAAAATTCAATTTTTTTCTTAAAAAATTGTAATTAGTATATAATTATGTTGTCTATTAGAATTTAATTTAGTTGTTTAAAAGATCAAATTAAAATACCAAACTACCCCAATTAAATCTAAAAAGTATTGTGTCCATTACAATTTGATTCCTTATTTAATTTTTTAGTTTTGTTTTAATAGATAGTATAAATATATACTAACTATGCCTTTTTTTTAAAAATAAATTTTTATTTTTGATTTTATTTCGATAAATGATATAATAGAACATAAATTTTGGATGTAAAATTTATGTTCTATTATAAATGACTTAGACCCATTGTTTGAATTTTTAGTTTTATTCTAATAGATAGTATAATTGTATATTAATTACGATTTTTTTAAGAAAAAATTTAATTTTTATTTTTAATTTTATTTCAATAAATGATACAATAGAACATAAATTTTGGTTATAAAATTTAAAATATTTGATATTTTATATTTGATTGGAGTATTTTTGGTCTAAGTATAATATTTTAAATTTAAAGGGTCTAAATATTATATACTCACAAACTTTAGGGGAGTCTAAGTATAATTTATTAACTGATATATTTATAATAAGAGNATTTTAAATTTAAAGGGTCTAAGTATTATATACTCACAAACTTTAGGGGAGTCTAAGTATAATTTATTAACTGATATATGTATAATAAGGGTTTAAGTGTTACGTGCGTACAAACCTCAGAGTGTTTGTGTATAATATTTTAAATGTCAGGGGTCTGAGTTATTAAATGACAAACTTCAAGAGATCTGGATATAATTCTCCCTATAATAAAACCACATTATTATTAGATCAAATTTTTAAATTTGAATAACATTCCTCGTAAAGCTAATTAATGGTAACTCGGTATGGGCCGGGTCGAACTCAAAATACTGTCCACGAAAGAAAACAGGCCCAGTTAGAAGTTAAACGAAGGAGGCNTAAAGCTAATTAATGGTAACTCGGTATGGGCCGGGTCGAACTCAAAATACTGTCCACGAAAGAAAACAGGCCCAGTTAGAAGTTAAACGAAGGAGGCTCACCAACGGTTAATAATATTTTTACAAATAATTTATTCATTTTTCGGAAACCGCTCTGTTCGAGTGTTCAAAAAATTCCCCTTTGCGCTCTCTCTCTCTCTCCAATTTCATATCCACTTTATCTGGTTCAGTCTTGAAAAGTATCTTCAATCCTCTTTTGCATACGATTAAATTTGATTAGAAATAAATTTTCGATCAATTGAGATTAACCTCAGATTTTGCGATCGGCGAAGTGAATCTCTTTAATGGGAGACAGTGGGAGTACCGATCTGGATGTGAAAGGGCTCAGTCTCATCGATTTCTCGTCTGAGAACGATAGTCTCATCGTTACTTCTTCGTCTGCTACCATCACTGGTCTCAACGACGATCAATCTTCAGGTCATTTTCTCGAGTTTTTGTTTATTTACTTGATTTGTCTTCATAGATATATTTTTCTTATTTAATTGCCGATTTGAGGAGGTGAGGTTCTTTTTTTTTTTTTTCTCTAGTATTGTTACGACCATGGATGCTAGTATTAGTTTTCCTTTTCCCTATTTTCTAGCATTAAATTTCTGTTATTTACTTATTTGATTGCCGATGTAGCCTTATCTTGGAGAAGGTGAGGTTCTTAGTTTTTTTCTTCTATTGTTACCGGACATGAATGCCAGCATTACTTTATTTATTTCATCTTTTTTGAGTAAGATGAAGCTGTTTTTTAGAATTGATTGGTTCTGTATGTCAGTGTATGTATCTTTTATGATTTTTATTTTTTTGTAGTTTTGCCTAAATTGAATTAAAAAGTCAAAATAAAACGACGCNTTTTCATCTTTTTTAGAATTGATTGGTTCTGTATGTCAGTGTATGTATCTTTTATGATTTTTATTTTTTTGTAGTTTTGCCTAAATTGAATTAAAAAGTCAAAATAAAACGACGCATCTTACTATCNATTTCATCTTTTTTGAGTAAGATGAAGCTGTTTTTTAGAATTGATTGGTTCTGTATGTCAGTGTATGTATCTTTTATGATTTTTATTTTTTTGTAGTTTTGCCTAAATTGAATTAAAAAGTCAAAATAAAACGACGCATCTTACTATCTGGATCCAAGGCCATTGGGTTTAGGTTTTACAATCTGTGGACTGCAACAAAAAGGGGTGTGAGAAACTTAGGGATCTATGTTTGGTTGTCTGAACATGATCTCAATTCTTTTCTATGAAGTTAATATGATATGTTCATGTGTGCGATTACTCNTTGGGTTTAGGTTTTACAATCTGTGGACTGCAACAAAAAGGGGTGTGAGAAACTTAGGGATCTATGTTTGGTTGTCTGAAAATGATCTCAATTCTTTTCTATGAAGTTAATATGATATGTTCATGTGTGCGATTACTCTAATCGCATAAACCATTGGAAGTCAAAAATGTTCTATGAAGACACAAGCAAAATGAGTAGAAAAATGGAACTTAGGGGTGCTTCCTTAAAGAGGTAGCATTTTTGAAGAGATAGTCCTTGATGATGATGTTATTTCCCACATTTTAAGCCTATGTCCTTCTTGCCTCTATTGTTTCATTGACTCTGGTGTAACTTTGTAAACTTTTCTTCACTGTCCATACTGTTAGGACTATTGGTTCGAGTAGAATGAGAAGACAAGAATATGTATCTTACCTCAAGCAGTTGAGGATTGTAGCCGCGCTTAGATGTCACAATGTTCTCCTACCTTCTTGGATACCTGATTAATAGTTATGATTACCCCAGCATGTTGGCTCTCTATTTGTTGGGGGCTTGGTACATGTGCCAGTGGCGCGTGATATTCAATCTTCCATTTAGGAGAGGAACTTGGAAATAGATGGTAGCATAATTTGATATTTTCTGTCAAATCATTTCGCTTCGTCATAGTTGGAAGCCATAGGATGTGTTGTCAGTTCCTTCCAAGTCCTAATAGGCTTTCCAAATTCTTGGTTTTATGTTGTAACTTATCTTTTCAGCAAAAACATACAGCAATCTCTCTCTCTCCTCCCCTCCTTTGCTCCAGTTGTGTGAACAAATTATGCGATAGACATGGGAAGCTAATGCAGCATTTTTCACTTGAAAATTGTTCACAAATGTAAATTATGTTTAGATAACATGTTATTCCATCTCACATTCAGTATTGTTAACGGGACTCCCAACTTAATGTAAACTAATATAAGCTGAATGGAGTTCAGAAACTCAGAATGGGCCCAGAAGTTTTGAGCTGTTGGGACCCGTGGATGCTGACAAGGAAGTAGAGGTGGCCCACATGAGTGGGCCGAGTGAAGAATTGCCTCAACTGCCTGAAACATTGGGACCAGAAAGAACAAGCAAAATTGGCAAGTGTAATTTGCGCAAAAGTTTGGCCTGGGATAGTGCCTTCTTTACAAGTGCAGGTACCCTTTGAAAATTTGAATATAAAGCTGATTTTAGGTCATCATCTGTTGGTAGGTAATCACTAGATATTCCTCTTTATATATGCATATTCAAGCTCATTGTTGATATATTTTTGATATATCCAGGAGTATTAGATCCTGAGGAGTTGTCAGGCATGATTGAAGGAGCTGAGAAGCGTAAAAAACACATGCTACCTGGAATTGAAGAGGAAATAAGTAGATCTGCTGATTCAATTTCTACATTAGCAAGTGATACTCTGACACTAGAAAGCCCTGAGGGTGATTTGTTTGAGGACATAAGAGCCTCAATCCAGAAGTCACATAAAGCAACCAATGTGGCAACTTCAAGCAGCAAGGAAGCTTCTGCAGAGACAGATTCACAACCTTTCAGTTGTAAGTATTTTGGTTCTTGTTCCTTGCAGAAAGACGAGGACATGTCTCTTTATATTTTCTGCCTCAGCACGCCAGTAGGGTGTGTACAAAGGCNATTCACGCAGCAAGGAAGCTTCTGCAGAGACAGATTCACAACCTTTCAGTTGTAAGTATTTTGGTACTTGTTCCTTGCAGAAAGACGAGGACATGTCTCTTTATATTTTCTGCCTCAGCACGCCAGTAGGGTGTGTACAAAGGCAAAGGACTGGGGAAGTAGAAACTGAAATTGGAATGATTGCCTTCCATCTACCTCTTCCTCGAAAAATCGCAAACTTTGTTCCTCAGCATCACTGAAGCCAATTCTGCTGCCTCTTTCTCTTGCATTGTCTATACATCTTGTANAGAAACTGAAATTGGAATGATTGCCTTCCATCTACCTCTTCCTCGAAAAATCGCAAACTTTGTTCCTCTGCATCACTGAAGCCAATTCTGCTGCCTCTTTCTCTTGCATTGTCTATACATCTTGTATGACTTTTCTGCTACCAACTCCAGTACCATCTCATCCAGTTTCCACTACCTTTAGGGGCTAACAAATCCTCTCTTTCTGTTTCAATTACCCATGTCACCTTTTTCCTGTGGGCTCTTGTACAACTGTCTCAACTTGTTGCTTCATTTCATCATTTTAGACTGCCTCCAAATATGCACTTTCAATACAAATTTGCCTAATCTCTTTTCGCCCATTTTTGACATTTTCCTACCTCTATAATCACAAATGAGGCCAGTGAGTTTGCAGATCCCAGCTTGTTCATACAATAGCAGATTGTAGTCAAAGCAAGCTAAAATTGATGCCCTTCGGGGTGTATGTGTGTCAGGACCCACTGAAGTGAACCAAGTGTTCAGTTAGAAAATTGAAACAAACATTTAATAGTTATAGATCACAATTTTTATTTTCAAGTTGGATCAATATCAATGTGTACTATTATATATATCAATCAATTAGGGGAAGAAAGCTTGGGAAGCCTTCTCTCCCATAGATTAATTTTTCTAGAATTTGGCAATTTTTACTACAAAACAGGGTTTCATCCAATCTATGCTCCACACTTGGGCCATGTAACCATCCTTCCACTAGCTCACTAATTACCCACCACTCATGTAACTATTTTTAATAAATCAGTTTAACTTCTTATAGCTCCTTAACTTTTTAAGTGGAGGGGTGAGAGATGGTGAAGGAAGAGGAAGGAAAGGGTGCAGGGGTGTAAATCTTGTGCATCGCATGGATTCGCTACTATTTTTAATTATTTGGATGCTTCAATATTGCACTTACATGTTATTAGACAGTTTTGAGTTGCCCTTCATTTCCAGTTGCACATTTCCTTGTGTTTTTCACTGGCAATGGGATTTGTATTCTGCAACGCTGAATCAGAAATTTGCTCTCTTCTGAGATATAACTGAGTGGTTTTGGTGATTGGTTTTTGCAAAATTATTAATGGCCCATTTTTTTACAGCTTCAACGTTGGACTTTACTTCTCAAAGTAAGGTAAGTTCAGTTAAATGGAGAGGACTTTGTTAGTTGTCATTGCTTATGTAACTTCTTCAGTGACTTGGATTGTTTTGTCAAAATACCAGCTGAAGACAAAAACTGCTTTGAAGAAGCAAACTATAGGCATGCAAGGGTCAGGGAAAATAATAAAGCAGGCTTCTGGTCATCCACAAGTCACACAGGCATGTTATCGTTCATGCTATTTATCTGTATACACGAATCTAACTGCAATATTTACTGGCATCCAAATTGGAATGGGCAGTACCCATTTCATATTGATGCTATGCATGTTATTATCTATAATCCTACTCTATCGAACTCTAATGTTTTCTTCCTTTTTGAGCATTTGAATCCCAGAGATTTCATTGGCTTTCTGATTGTGCAATTTATTAGTGTAGTCCATGTCTAGATTGGGTCAGTTTATTAGNTGAACTCTAATGTTTTCTTCCTTTTTGAGCATTTGAATCCCAGAGATTTCATTGGTTTTCTGATTGTGCAATTTATTAGTGTAGTCCATGTCTAGATTGGGTCAGTTTATTAGGAACATACTTCTGACTTTTGATGAGGTTTGGTTGACACCATTTATATGTTCCTTCTTGACTAGATGAAGGCTGTTGTTAGAAATAAAAACTCGACTTCATCACTTCCAAAGCCACCCAAGACAACCAGCAGGGCTAACCCTGTCTCAATAGCAACAACTAAAAGGGCTTCTTTGGGTGCCAGTCGTGTCAAATTTGAAAATGATAATGGGAAAGGTACTTTTAGTGAATAACTCTTGTTCATTCAAATTGATATCTATAGGTGAGATTGGAATATTTTACCTGGGTCTGAACACTTGTAACTTTGAACTAACAGTTGCAAGCAAAGGGAGCATGGCATCAAAAGCACCTGCCTTGGTTAGTTCGCGTGGGGTTGTGCCAAAGCCTGCATTATCTTCTAAATCCTCTTCTTTGAGTTCTTCAACTGCAACCAAGACACAATCCATAAGATCTTCCTCCTCCTGTGACAGTTCAGGGAGTGCTTCATCTGACAACATTGGTAAATCTACTTTGACTTCTGCGAGAAGAAGGATCAATACCAGAATTGTTAACCCACCTTCTTCTGGCTCAATTTTAAAAACCCCGTCAAACACTGCATTGAAGACCAGAGCAACATCTGGGGATTCTGCTCTCTCAGTGTACTTGATGTCTTCCAACCTCTCTTCAAGCATTTCGCCTGCTAGTTCAATTAGTGAATGGTCATTGGAGTCATCCTCATCATCTTCTACAGTCAATCAAAAGTCTAAAGAGCCTAGGGCTAGCCTCAATTCCAGTTCTTGCAGATCCTTAGCCAGTGATGTCCCTCCTGCCTTGAATGCGAAGGTCCATTCCAATGGTCAGACATCAGATGGCCGCGAAAACCAGATAACAGGGCCTGGTCAACAAACGAAGAAAGCATCAGCACAAAATGACATACTTTCTCGGTCAGCTTACACGAAACCCTCAGGCCTTCGAATGCCATCTCCAAAAATTGGGTTCTTTGATGGGGTTAGTTTTACATTTTCGTAGTACTTGTTCCTATTTTCAGGTTTTCCATTTGAAGTAATTTTGCCAAGGCAATTTGGTGGCAATGGGAAACACGTTTTGAAGGATTGGCTGAAGTGTTGTAGAGTTCTGATTCTGGCCTGCTAAAGATTGCCTAAGCAAAATTATATCTTTTCATCAATTGTATAATTTTTAGAGCTTGCTATTACTCCATGTCCTACAGGTGAAATCTGTTGTTCGCACCCCCAATGGCAGTATGAAATCTCATTCAGGCTTACCAACTGGTATGGCTAAAATCGGAACTGGGATATGTAGCCCGAATGGGAGTGGAAGCAAAGCAAAGGTTGGAAAGCTTACTCCTGCAAGAACGGTAATGCCAATCACAAAAATGAAGCCTGTTATGCAGACGCCTGTTTCTCCTACACCATTTGAGGAACCACTCAATGCTTCAACAAAGGTCTCTAATCAGTCCACAGATGTAAGAAGTTGCCCTAGCTTATCTCCTGGTGTTCCAAATGAAATTGGTGGAAGAAGTTGCTTGAAGACTGTGGAAGTAGGAACTGAAGAAACTGAGCGAGCTAAACATGTTCCAGATTCAGGAATGAAGGCTGTTATGGATGAAAATCAAGGTGTATTGAAGATTGAAATGAGCTTAGATGNGCTGTGGAAGTAGGAACTGAAGAAACTGAGCGAGCTAAACATGTTCCAGATTCAGGATTGAAGGCTGTTATGGATGAAAATCAAGGTGTATTGAAGATTGAAATGAGCTTAGATGCGCAGGGGAGTGTTGGCTCAAAGGGTATCAAGATTGCTCCCATTGAAGGGGATACAATTGATTCGAGTTTTAATTGTTTTTTTGAAAATTCAAGCCCATTTCAGAAAACTGGTGACCGCAAAGAGGAATCTCTAACTGAACTGTCACAGCTCACTTCACTCTCCACTGCCTCGAGTATCTTGAAAATTACAGCGAGCAGGACTCCTTTTGCTGTCAAGAATTCTTCTTGTAATAGTGAGGAGATTGGTTTTTCAAAAGAACTGATCCTTTTGGCCCTAGAGAATACAGCCACCTTGCCTTCTTCAGAGATTGGTTCGAAAGAGAACAGTTGAAAACAGTTATCAGCGATGCAGCGCATTTTTTCAAGGTACATGCATAGTAGCTGCCAATACATAGAACTATGATCAGATCATCTTGTTAAGTTCTTGCATTTGAATTAGGAGTTCAAGGTTATTCTTTTTGACATCAAGGTGTCCATTAAAATTTTCCGTGATGTATTAATGGCATGCAGGAAGTATTAGGCCCGAAGATGCTTCCGAGCAAAGCTTGTTTGGCAAATGAGAGGAGCATATGACATATTTCAGAATATTGGACCTGAATTTGAGGATGTTGATTGGATTTTCTCATGTTCACTGTGCAAGTTGTTTGAAGTTCATATTCGATTCGAACACGCATTAGAGGAGAAGATGTGTTTTTGAAGGAGAGAAACCTTCTTGTGATGTACCCTGTTAATGTTACAGTTAATTAATTTCTCATGCAGTGCATAACTATGTACTTCAGAGACATATCAATCTCATATTGAATAGTGTTTTCTACATTGGTGCAGCATTATAATATTTATATATTTTTCTGTTTGTTCAATAAATTCCTAATGTACTCATGTTTCCTTATTTTATCTGCCTGTTCCTAAACAGTGTGTGTGTGTGTGTTATAGGCTACAAGGTATGAGACAATGGTTTCATTGCGATGTATCTGCTTATTCCCAAACAGTGTGTGCGTGTTTTAGGCTACAAGACATGAGATGATGTTTTCGGTACAAGTTGCAAGTCTCTAGCAATCTGGGGATGTGTATAATTCTTTCACTCATTGCAATCAATTGTTGGAACATCAAAGTCCGTTTGTATGAGATTAAACATTGATTTTATTCCCTTCCTTCAAAAATGGGAAGGAAAATGAGGCTGAAGTATGAAAAAACGATTCTTGATGCAGTTGGAAGGTTCGCTTTATATTGACAAAGAGATCTAATGATCCCAGAAAGGTCTCAGAAACGAAAAATGGTCCTGAACAGAATTGAACAAGAAGTCATGTAATCAAGTTAGTATTGTAAAATTCCATGCTCATCATTTTCATTTGAAACTCTGAATAATATCCACCTGCTTACCAACCCAATGCAAGCAACTATTTTTTTTTCTCTTTTGCAGGAGCCCATCCTTGCCTGCTCATATCGAGATCAATGAAACTCCTGCATCAGTCTGTGTGCTCATGAGAGAGAGACGGGGATATTGGGAGGATTGGCAATTTGCAAGTAATGATAGTCTAACATTAAATATCCATTCCGCAATTTCCAGTACCTCAATAGGAGGATAGATAGTAGATCACCAACAAAATCCAATCAAAACTGGGGAAGTACAGTTACATAACTTGGAAAAAAAGGTAGCAAAATAATAGGAAGGAGACGATCTCCTCTAGCAAATTAAGATCTTGGCTTCTCCTTTTTCTCCTTGAAGAGGGCCAAAAGAGAGACACCTGAGACCTTCACAACCTTGAATCTAACACCAGGAATATCTCCGACAGCATGACCCTTACGCCCAAATCCAGCAATCAACACCTCATCCTGTGGCAAGTAAATTCAATAAATTCCAGTTAGATGAACAAAATGGAGGGGAAGAACAGGCCATCAATGCTAGTCACAATGCTTACATTCTCTTCTATGTAGTTTAAGCAACCATCATTCGGCACAAAAGCAGCAATCTTCTTCCCATTCTTAATCAGCTGAACCCTAGCACATTTTCGGATGGCAGAGTTTGGCTGCTTAGCCTCAATACCTCTGTATCCGTCAGCCATCCATTTTTCAGGTTTGATTTTGACCGCAGTAAACATAAACAGAACTAGTGAAAGCAATTAAAGGAAAAATACATGCCAGCAAGTCTTACATCTTCTCAAGGACAATGCCTTTGGCGTGGGAAGACCCAGCGAATGGCTTCTTCCATTCATTGCCAAGGTGGGATTTCTTATATGCCTTATCAGCCCACCTTTGTCTTCTACGGTGAGACTTCAGCTTGCGACCAGCTCCCATACCACGTGTCTTCCTGTGAGATCGTGGTTTATCAAATTATAAAGCCATTCAACTAAAAAAGGTAACGCAAATCTGGAGAACCAGTTATGCTTCAAATTGGAATCAACTCCCAATAGGAATGCCACAAAAATCAACATTCCAATCTCATTCGACATAAAGTTCCAAAAATTCATTTTTCTCTAAAATATGTTAAACATTATTTTGAGCACCAAGCGGATATAAAACGGTAAAGACAATGTAACAAAATCAAGTGAATGCTTGGGACAGGTTTTGGTCACATGTTTATATATTGCATCATCTAATTCTCAATTCAAATTAATTATTCCCCATGTATAACTTGTTCGGTTGCAATACATCCAAGTATCATATTAAAAAATAAGGTCTCAAACAATTCTCGTGCTAAAACCCAAACAAGAAAGCATGCTACAAGAATGCAACAAATTGTTTCAAGGAGTCAGACCACTTCGGTCAATCGTGGGCATCCACGATGGTCCATTGGCAACGCTCAAAATGTGTCCTAATTAATATATCAAAATGTTCCCTACATACTTACAAAAGTCCTTCGAAACAATTCAAAGCATGATGTTTCTTTTGCAAACAAGTATAAATTACAGTCAGAATATAAAAATTAAATTGGATAGAAAATATCTTATCCTATCTTCATCACAAGGTATCCTATTCTTACTAATGGAATGTCATTATTAGTCTCTCATTCTTACCACCCGTGGAAAAAAAAAAATCCGCCCCCCCCCCCTTTTTTCCTTTTTCTTTTTTTTTTGTGAGTTTTTTTTGTATGTTATTTATTTTTTTTTTTTTTT